AAACAAAATCCAGGTACGATGAAAACCCCAAAAGGCATCGTGAGCAAAAACAGATGAAAAGGGTGGACACGACCGCAGGTCATGGGTAAAAGAGCCAAGAAATAATAAATGTTTGTGAAAATCGTCTTCACGACGCCACTTCCCCTGTTCAAGTGAAAACCTGGAAAATAACGCTTGGATCGACAAGACAGGTTGACACATGACACCTCCTCAGCCGACATTCAATTTCCAAATAGTCACAATCCTGGTTAATGAGGTCTACCTAAAATCCTCAAAAGCCACCCTCCAATCACAACACCAGATGGCTCATCAGGGGTGAGAGCCACATAAGATCCCCCGCACTTCAACAACATGGCTCATCAGGGAGTGAGAGCCGCATAAGATCTCCCAACAACATGGCTCATCAAGGACTGAGAGCCGCATAAGATCTCCCAACAACATGGCTCATCAGGGACTGAGAGCCGCATAAGATCTCCCAACAATATGGCTCATCAAGGAGTGAGAACCGCATAAGATCTCCATAGTTCAACAACAACAAGAGTCCTTGAGGGTGAGGACGATGACCAAAAGATCCCTCCAAAAATGCTAAAGACCAGCACGAAGGCAAAAAACTGATGAAGCTAGGGTCTAACCTGCCACAAGCTTCAAGGTATGCCTCGTCAAAACTCCCTAGCCTACATAGAACCAGACTTTCGGAATGGGTCAGAAGCCCTCGCTCAATAAAGCCTAGCAAACAGTAGAAATTCTGACAGTCTCTGACAGTCTCATAATAGTCCAGGAATTGGCCAAGATCTTCACAAGGTCTCTCAAAAGTCTCCTGCAAGTTTCATTGCATTTCGACATGTTTATGGTATTGAAAAATGAGAAACAGTTTCGGTAGAATCAACCTCTAGCACCACCCTGAAACAGCCCTTATAACTAAAGCTATATTTTTGGTGTCTCAAACTACTGTGGGACCACCACCAATGGATCCGACATAGTTGAAAACCCCTAGGGGTCAAATTTTAGCCTAACGGACACTCCAGGAAGAAGTTATAAGCAAAAGAGTGAAACAGGAGAGGCCGCACGCTATTCCCGTGTGGCCACCCAGCAACTCCATGCCATGGAAAGGGCAGTCATGAATAGTTACTTTCGACCCTCATATCTTGCCTGTCCCAAGTCGGATCATGCTTGAATTTGGTGAGCATGTTCGTCTAGTCAAGACAAGTGATTCGATATGCGGCTCGCCTCGTGACGATACATGAGCATGAAGAAAATCTAGAGATAAGTTGCTGATCTATGAAGAAAGTATAGGAAATTCAGCAGCATCGTGCCTCGCTCGAACGGAACATCACACCACTCGGGAGCCCGATCGATGTGAGACCAATTTTATTGTGGGCGTGAAGTCTCGGGCTATCACTGATCAGAACCCTGTACATGATGAACGGTCGGATTTTGCACATGAAGCTTACGAAATGAGTGCAAATTCCATCGCTGAAATTCCAGATTCCGATCAAAATTCCAAAGTTGCGAACTCTTCGTTCTTGCACAGCATCGAGCTGCTTTTGTTGCCTTGTGATAGTAACGGCATGCTCAGTGTAATTCAGCGAAAAAATCACCAAAAATCCTCAAGGAACATGTACACTATCGATTCAAATTTTTAAGATCCATTCAAATTTCAAGTCACATGATCGTGCATTAAACACACAATCCATGGCTCGAAGTCGGTATCAAATCGATCGTCATGTGGAGCCCTATAAGAAAAAAATCATCTTACGAGCAATCGGGCATCAGAACGACCCCGGATCATCCCTGCAAGATCATGCAAGTTCTAGGGCAACACAGGGACTGTTATGAAATTCCATGAATTGTTAAAAACGGACAAATCTGTCATTTTTCACCCTATTTTTAATTTCTTTTAATTCAATTTAATATTAATTTCTTTTAATTCAATTTAATCTAGTGTGTACCATCATTGTACCCACTAGAGGACTCAACCTTCACAAAAGAGAGTTTTTACTTAATACAAGTTTCTCTTTCTTCTCATTGTTGGGTCACGTTTGAGAGAGTGAGGTGAGAGAAACGTTTTATTGGTAACGTTAGGTTCGAGGTAAATATTCTCTCTCTTATTTTCTTTTTCTTCCTCTCTCTCTCGTCTTTCCTCTCCCTCTTCTCTATTTGAGTTCCTCGTAAGGGTCATACATGGTAGTGACAGTGTTGTGCATGCCTCCCCTGAGGTCACACAGGTTGCGCATGATGATGGCAGCCCCATGCATGAGTCTCCTTCTCCTTCTGTTCTTCTATCTCCCTCTTTCAGTGAGGCTTGTAGATGACACTGTCTATCACCGTCCACAAACATGGCTTCGACGTCTTAGTGAAGAATCCAGACGGTGAAACTTGCTGCCTCCCGCAGGGGTCCTTCGCTGTTGTGCGTCTATAGTAGACGACGATACCCATCTCCGCCCGCTAAAGGCCTCGGCAACGTCTACAGCCAACTACGAGCTTCCTTCGTGTGTTCAGTGCTTATCGTCATCCTTTCTGTGCTCCACACCTATCATCATTCACCTCGTGAGAATCACCGTCGTGTGCTTCATAAACGACTATCGTTGGGCACTTCATCAGAGATAATCGCCGCTCGCGTGGGGGTGCGTTGTCTTCTTCTATTGGCAACGATGATGCCAAGCACCATCCATAATTCATTTCTCACTCTCTAGCCATGAGCAGCAGTGTCGAGCACCGCTCAAGGGCCACGACACTGCTACTCCATGGTCGTGAGTGGCAACGCTTAGAGCCTGGGGACCCCATCACTTTACCTTCTCGTGTTTTCTTTTTGTTATCTTTTCTCTTCTCACTTGACTGAGGGTAGACTTAGCCTAGCACTGCCACATCGGTCTCGGTTTCAAGTAGTATTTCCATTCTGTTGGTCCTAAGAACCATGCCCGTCTTGCTACCATTCCGAGTCGATGACATCCCGGCTGCCATGCTAGTTGATGAC